CCCCCCCATGCATCTACTTAACAATATTACATTAGTCAGTAACAGTAACCCATGCTCCCATTAGGATTTTTTTCAACAGACTTACCCTCCTCCCTCCTTATTGGCCGTGTTTATTTACAGCAGCTCATTTTCATGTCGTCCCAACAGCTTTAGACTTGCGTGCTAACATGTGAGTAAATCACTGAGCTCACACGTTACAATATAATATAATACTGTCGTTGTCAGAGTTGACTTCTTCAAAGCTAGATGAGAGATTAGAACCCTGAGGGTAAGTTAGTCTATAGATTATAGTACAAGGAGACAGCTATCACATACTGTATGCTATAAAATTATTCTCATTTTTTATACACCAAAGGTTGGTTTCTCTGTTGTGGAACATCCTCTCAGGAAACGTCTTGAGTATAATGTTCTGTAGGGAAGCTATACAAAAGAAAATAATTGAAAGTATTTCTAATCTAAATTTAGAAAATAATTCCCTGAATGATATATTCTTGCACTATGAGAATTCACTGCAGTTTGCAAAAGTTTAGAACATAACAATCCAAGATTAATTAACAATGCAGGACAGGTTAACCATGGGTTATGAGGAAGTTAGTAAAGGTTCAGAAAGGGCTACGCTATTCTAGTACGTCACAGAGGTAAACAGAGGGTTAACGTGAAGTTTTTTAAAAATTTACATAGCTTATAGAGTCATAACATATCACAACATAGTCCCCTGAACATCACTTGTAGAAAATCTGTCATATCTCTCATAGGTGATATCTTCAGAGGTACAAACACCATTCATTTCCTTCACGCCTCAAGCTTAATAAATAGACAGCTCACAGCAATAATAAAGTTCACGTTAAGACTGGAAGACTTTCACAGGACATGCTTGCTTAAAGTAGCAAAATACATGTAAAAAATAAATAAGATATAAACACCACATTATAATGAAATCCACAACAAGCTTTAAATTTGTCTTTCCTATGGGTTCCCCGTTTGCTTCGAGCTCTTCAGTACCTGTGTTGTTGTTGTTGTTCAGACTGCACATTCCCTTAGAGGTAAATATAAAATGGCAGGTGTATCATTTTTGCAAGTTGACCTGAGGGATCATGAAAAGTAAAGAGTAGCTCATGAAGGAAGACCTGACAAGGTTTAAAGAGACTTTGAATGCAAGTTGTGTGAATTTTGCAGGTAAAACGGTTCCAGGGAGTGTGAGTCCCACACGTGTAAAATATCAGCACTGAAATTAATAATTACAAAATGTTAAGTACACGTCGGGAAGGCTGAGAGAAATTATCCACTCAGATTTACAAACCAATTCTTTACATAAAGTCCTTCATGAAGTAAAATGTTGGTTGTTCTCTGCTGGTGAGACGGCAGGACCAAGTATAAGGCGCTTTGTTGGGGATTTTTCCAAATGAGAAAAAAAGTTTGTGACGCAGAATTACAATTCATCATTCAAAACAGAACTGACTCTGAGAAACTAATCCTAAAAAGAGAGAATAAATCTCTTACAAAGGATGAGACCGTGTTTCTAACACCATGGACAATTGTGTTAAGGTCTTAAGAGTGTGCTACTTTCCATCTGTTTCTGTCTATGTGGGAATCATTACTATCCTTAAACACTATTTGCATCACTATCATACAGTATATACAATCTAAACTCCAAGACTCTGTGTTAATACATGTTGGGACAAAGGACCGAGCTGCTGTTATTGGCATCATTTTTCTTATGAACAGCATTATTCATGTTCTCTGTGTATAACATTGATGCCTGATAGATTGACGCTGCCTGTACAATCTGTCCAGTTTAACCTGTAAAGCGTGGGGATCACATTCTGTCTTTTTGTCCAACATGTACTAAAACTCCATTCACATTCAGAAAGAAATGAGGAGAATAAAAGAAATGAAAGAGGAGAAACACGGGAGCTTATCTTGCAGCTAAGTTGCAGCGGTTGGCCGACCCTCTGTGTGTGGGCGTGGCTGGGCCAGGGGAGTAATTTTGATTGCTTGCTGCCCTGTGAGTGGGTGTGGCTGGTCCCGGGGAGAGATTTTGATTAGTGGCGGATCTGTGGGAAGGGGAGGAGTACTGAACTTGCTGGGGACAGCCGTGACAGTGGGTGGGGGAGTCGCACCCTGCTACAGGTGAGGAGGAAAAGAATGGGGATGAGGGGACAGGGGAAGTAGAGAAGGAGCGGTGCAGTGGGGAGGAGGCAGGGGTCATGAGGGGACTGGTCTGGAGGCGCCACAGGAGCTCCTCGTTGTTCATGCTCAGACGCTTCTTCTCAGTGCTCTCCTTCTCGACAGACTCCTGGAGGTTGGCGTTGTCCTCTGATAGTTGCCTGCAGAGAAGACAGCAAAGTGGAAGCTAATGTTAGCATATTAAATTATCAATGATGGTGATAATAGCGTTAAGTAGAATGACACTTAGTAGTTTTACCACACAGCCAACCAACCAATCAGGCAACCAAGCAACCACCCTATCACCCACTCACCCATCTAATCAACCAACCAATCAGACAACCAAGCAACCACGCAATGAACGATCCAACCAACCAACAAACCAATCACCTACACACCCAACCAACCAAACACCCACCCAACCAACGGACAGGGGTGAAAACTCACCCTCCTTAGTAATGATCGTGATAATGACTGTGTGCACCTTACCTGGACAGGACCAGGTTCATATCAATACGAGTCTTCATATCTTCATTCTGCTGCTGCAGAACCTGGACCTTCTCTTCAAGGAACACGTTCTTCTGGGCCTGCTCAAATATAACACACAACCACAACGCAATATTTCCTTCACCAGGCACATTCACCACGATGCATCCAGTCCAGTGTATAATGCATGTGTGTTTTACTGTATGTTGAGATGGCTTATTTGAGCTTACCACTTTCTCCAGGTCAGAGATCTTCTTCTCCTGCTTATGTATCTGCTGGTTCTTCATTTCTACAATCTCCTTCAAGCTCTTCAGATCTTTCTCAATGTGCTGGTATGGAGCTAAAGCATCCTGATACAGAAACAGAAAGGGCAAACTGAGCATGAGTGGGGTTTTAAAAGACATGGGCAGGATTGTATGTTCATATGCACATAGCAGTCAGTGGCTCCTCTTCCTTTGACTTTATTGTTTTTGTTTTGTTCCTCCTCTCATTTTTTTCTTACATCTCTCCCTTATACTACTAGATGTATTCTATTGTGTTTGTGTTATAGATAAACTCACAATGATCTGTTCATCCGTACTCCTCCTCAAAGCCTCTTCAAAACGTTTGGCTTTGTCCCTCAGACTCTGATTTTGAAACGTGAGAGTATCCACTTGATCCTGAACACACACACACACACACACACACACACACACACACACACACACACACACACTAAAGATAAGTGTGTACTGTTAAAAAATAAAAAATGAAGTTATGTTTTTTGTTAAATCATACCTGCAGAGAAAGCCTGAGTTTCTCAAAATCCTCCTCGAGAAGCATCTTCTGTTGGTCGTGAGCTTTCCTCAAGTCTGAACACAGATTCAGAAAAACAGAATAAAAGAGAGGTGAGGTTGTTTCTAGCAGTGCTGGTGTCACATTGTGTTATTTAAATGACATCTAAAATCTT